AACATTGACCATCATCATCACATCACAAATCCTGCCCTGAAAACGAAAACCATGTTGCTCTGCGACCTGGCTATCTATATAACCGTCGCATTTGTACCATTATGTTGAAGAAAAAGCAACACAATGGAAACGAACCAGTAAAGCCATCCATTTTCTTTCGTTGGGCGAAAAGCGTAAAGGGTTTCGTTTAGAAACAATACAAGCACATGTGGTGAAAGACATATACCTTGCGATTTATTCGGTTCCACGGCGAGGTATGTCGCAACGGCAAATCCTATGCAGCCGCTTGTTTGCTGAGGGACAGACGGTTGACTGGGTCTGACAACTTTTGACTCAGATGCCCGGTCGTCGTTCATTAAAGCCGTCTTTACGAAGAACCCTGTTTACCAAGTTAGACTTAATTTATGGATCTAAAAGAAGAAAGTCTGTGAGTAAATCACATCGCCAAACGTTCGTCAGCGCCCAAAGTCAACAGCTCCGCTTCGCTCTCCTGCTGTTGACGCACGCGCAGGGACTGGTCCTCGGTGGTCTTGTCTCCTCCAGTCGCTAACCGGCTTCCTCTCAGCACGCGGGAACCTGGCCTGTGTTGACTTTTGGGGCATCCCTGAAGTCGACGCTTTCCTCAACCACGGGTAAACGCCGGATTAGTTCTAAATGCCAAGTCTCAGCACGAGGAACGATTACTGTATGAAGTTATTTCCAAGCATCAGTATTACTAATTATATCTCCAATATGTTACGCGTTCATGAGAAACGGATTCAGAAATTATGCGTATTAAATAACGCACAGTTCGTATCGTCAGGTGAGATATCACAAGCTAACTATCTAATAACGAAAACTTCCTGATTTACGTATTTCCACACTTTTTTGATCCATGGCTTGAAGTTTCCTTCTGTCCAATTTGCTTTCGCAGCGGCCGTGACACAGGCACAAGTCGATGTTCCGCCACCATTCTCCATGTGGTGCTCTTTGCTTCCATCGTTGAACAAACTGCTTCGTCGTTGGGTTGTACAAGCTTGGTGGCAAATGACCAAGAGGGATTCAGTTGGTAACTCAGGATGTCCACCTGCTGTCTCCACTTCCTGTATTCACCAACAGTGAATATATTCGGAAAATGCGATGCGAGCAACACCAAATTACTGCAATGGCCTCGAATCGAGATCTTGCATATTTTCCTCTCCATTGCCCTTGGCGTCACTACTAGTTTCTTTACCTCAGGGCGAGCAGAAAGGCGGAGTGCAACAGTTTTTTCTCCTTGCTCTGTGTTCTAGATCGATGTTTCGATGTGATTGAAATTTGCTCATGCCTCCTTCCTTCTGCTGAACTCGCCGTTGATGTCACTGTTGGAGTTTATTATGTGGTCGAGGTAGCAAATTTTTCGATCTCTTCGCCGCCAATGCCGTCAGTTCAGACCGCTGAAAAGAGATTCCAATGCTGACGCGAAAAGTTTCACGAGAGCTGGAGTCTTCTGGGGGTGCTTCTCTTTCGATGCTGATTCGACACGGTTCCTTGATCACGTCGACGTAGACAAGGCTGATATCAAAGTCGTGCAAGGCATTCAGCATTCAGCGCTCAGCTCGACAAAATCGAAACGCTGTTCTGAAGTCGATGAATGCATAGCAGGGGAAATTATTATCCCCTGCACTTCCCTGTTAACTGCTTCACAACATGAATATAGCCTATGACACAGAACCCTGTTCAGAAACTGGCTTGTACTTTACTAGCGAGCAATTCCAGGCTTTTCAGGATACGGTTGAAGCAGATTCAGGTAAAGACCTAGTAGACTTGTGACAGGAATATGATGGTGCTGTGGGTCGAGAGTTCTGGAGGTCCTCAGCATCCCTTTTCTTGAATATAAGAATGGTCGTAGAACTCATCCATGCTTCTGGGGTCTTCTTCAGCATGATCTATCCCGTAAATCGTTCGGAAAGGGTCATTGCCCTTGACTTGGAATGTTCCTGTTTTAAGAAGTCCCTGCCAAGACAACTGCGATTCTTTATATTCTTGATTACCCACTCTACTTTTCCCCACGTGATATTGAGAACGGTTTCCGGGGTAATGTGCACAGCTTCCGGTTTGTCTACCTTCGAGGAATAGAGAATGTTGCAGAACCTCGTGCAGGTTACTTCCATGCGATAGCGATCTGTGGTTTTCACTTTTCCTCCGTCCTTTAGTGCTA